GATTTTTTTTTTTACAGTGTATTCTATATTGTTATCATAGTATTCAACAAAAATGTTGCAGTTGCATGAATTTATATATATATATATATATATATATATATATATATATATATATATATATATATATATATATATATATATATATATAGGGTTTTTTGTCCCGTGAGAAGAGTGGTGGCACAAGGAGGTGTTATAGAGCTTTTGTTTTCCATTTTTATGTGTTATTGAAGAAATATCAGACATCAGACTATGGTTATATTTCTAACTGGAAAAACTGAACAAAATTTCTTTTTGTATACACTCTGTGTAAAAAATGACAATAAAGTCTAAGTCTTAAAAAAAAAAAAGCAAAAATAATACCTAAACACAGTAAGTTACTATCAATGGAACTATGTATTAACTAAAAGCATGATTACCTAATTCCATATCCTGTAAAGGAGTGAAGGGTAGAGCTAGTTAGAAAATGAAGAGTTTTCTGCTGGCTAAGTGTATAAAACTGATGAACTGCCTTCACAGTACCTGTTCTGAATTGCTTGGTGATTTTCAGGCAAAAATCACACTGGAAAAAAATCTAAATCTAGATAAGTCATTTTTTTCCTTAAAATAAATGAATATTATCCAGTTATCATATCTTAAGAGTATAAATAATCACTCTATTGGTAAACTAAGAGTAAATACACTTAATTTAAGACATTTTTATTTATTTCTAGATCGTTTTTCCGGTGCAAACAATTCTGCAAAAAAACACATCATGTCTTGAGCACGAAAAAGAGGTTTCAGCAAAGGGTCGACAAACAGTAAACAGTGTTCTTCTGTTGTGTGAGTATATAGCGAGGAGACCTGGGAGGCAGGGCACAGCCAGGTTCGCAGGATACTTCAAAGAAAAAGAGAATAAACAACACCCAAGACCTCCTGTATGCTTTACAGCATTACAAAGAGTCAGATATATACTTGTAGGCAGGGGGGGATTTACCATTCGCCAATACTAGGGCCCAAAGTTCCTGGGGGCCCAAAAAACATGTATGTTGTTCTTTCATGTGTTAATGTGTATGGTTAATACAGCTAGTCCTTATTTTTGCACATTAATTATGTTTTTGATAAAAATCGTTTTGCTAAAATGCTATCGGAACGCTTATAATATTTTGTGTTTCTCAGCCCCCCCCCTTCAGTGTCCACCATATTGGATCAGTCCATTTGCTGCACATGTTCAGAAAGGTCCAAACAGACTGCAGCAAACCATTTGTGTGCTTTTGTCGTTATATTTAGTGACTTTTCAGACCCCTCTAGTGCTATTATTTCAAAAAAGCACCTAGCGCCAAGTCAAGCAACTTTTTTCTGCTGCTGGAGACTTTACCGACAACATCTAAAAGCAGCGAACTCTGCTCTCCAGAGCAAGTAGCTTGGTAACCCCGCCTCCTGCTCTTCTCTATCTTGTCTGCTGTCATGATTCATGCAGCTATTATTTCATCCAAATGAAAAATGGAGAACAGATAAGCAGATCATGGCTTGTCTACACTGAAAAGAAGGACTGGGTTATTTACTTTGGCCTTTTTGGAAACACAGGAAGGAGCAATCAACTAAGTGAGCTTAGTGCTTGGAAAAAATCTTTCATTCCTTTGAGACAGCATAAAAAGTCAGCTGAGTACAAAACATAGAGAGGAAAACAACAAGAAAAGGGACAAAAGAGAACATAGAAATAAAAACAACAAGAAAAGGGACTATAAGAGAGGGACAAATATTGTATGTCTATTCTATTCAAATTTCTCTATCTGTATAATGGTTCTGTTTTACGTGTTTTCTTCCCAATTCAGAGGGCCCCTGTCCTTGCCTAGGGCCCCAAATATCTAAATATGTATGTCATTACATTAGTACATTTTTTTATTTTTATTTTGTAATGTAGACAAAACATTTCACATAGCGATAGTTCATTTCAAAATGAATTTATTGATACGTAAGGGAAATTAAATTGAACTCTTATAGGGGTTTGTTTTAGGAGTTGTAGATGTTTATAACTGTAGGCTGGAAGGATCTCTTGTAGTGATCTATCTTACCAAGGCCTGATAAAAGCTTCTGAAAGAAAACACTTCTGGATCTTCACAGATTCTAAATAAGAGGTGCTGAATTGCATGTTTGCAATAAGTGGGCGTGTTGCAGGTGATTTACAAAGATAGCTGCGTAAATGTTAAGATGTGGAAACAATTTTATTTCTGCTCATGAAAATGAGCATATTGTGTGTACTACTGGCATCATGAGAGTTGTCATAGAAAGATGAGATTATTATTATTATTATTATAAGTAATATTTATTTTTCCACTGCACTGAACTTTTTAATATTAATGCCCTTTTGCACCATTATTTTAAACTGGTTTCTTTTTCTCCTGTATTGTTATATTCTGATCCCTGCTCCACTTTATATTGGTAATGTTTATCTACTCCAGTTGCAGTATCATTACACTGTTGTGAGTCGTATGCAACAACATTTGGTTTTGTATACACAAAATGACAAAGTTAGTCTAAGTTTAAGTTTAAAGCCATTAAGGGAGGAAATAATGATACATTTTAAACAATTTATGATAAATATTGGTAGTGCATGTCATAACCTCTACCACCTTTAGTGCTATGACTAAAATAAGAGAAAATAAAACATAGCTGTGTTTTGTGTACTTGTTTTTCCCAACTGGTGGGGACAATTTGCTGTTAAACCTCAGCATCGTGGGGACCAACCGTCCTTATGGGGACCTCCACCAGGTCGCCTTGGGGGAGGTTATTGTTTTAGGTGTTAGGTGTTAGGTTTAGCAATAAGGTGTGAATTGAGTTTTGTATAGGGTTAGATGTGTACCTGTAATGGTTAGTTTAGGGTAAGTTAGGCCCCGTCCACACGAAGTCAAAACGAACACGAAACGCTAATATTTTCCAGAACGTTTGTTGTAAAGATGGAGACGAAAAATAAATGTGATCGTCCACACGAATGCATGAAAACGCTGCAAAATGTATGCCAGGCCTGTAAGTGGCGCTGTCGTGCCAAAGCAAAAATAGGCGACGAAATGTTGGGCATGCGCACTAATATTTATACATGGTTGCCCTGCTGGTCAATTTTCGTGGTTCAGTCAAATTCTGGTGCTGAACTATGTCGTCGATATTGCTCTGTTCTTCCTGGAGATATTCCAGAAGAAGAAGATTCTGTTGTAAGCCCGACAGCAGGGTGAGTAGCATTAGCAGCAAACATTCAACACAGTACGGCGCCATTGTTGTTGTGATACTGTGTCGCGCATGCGTGTTTAGAGGCGACACTATGACGCATGAGTGTAAAAAAAGAAATGCGGTTAGAGCTTAAAGATGGAAACGCGAAAACGGCGTTTCAAAATCTTCCCACTCTGAAGGCTGAATAAAAAAAAGATTGTTTACAGACCCCCGAAACGCCGGCTTCGTATGGATGAGAGGCTGGTTTGGT